AAGAGGAAAAGAGATGATCAAGTAAATCATACATACATTTGACATTGTAGGCTTGGTCATATTAGAGAGAAAAGAATTAACAAGTTGTACAATGAAGGGTACCTTGACAAGTATGATTTTGAATCATATCTAACTTGTGAATCTTGTCTCAAAGGAAAAATGACCAAATCTCCATTTACTGGAAGTGGAGAAAGAGCTTTTGAATTATTGGGACTAATTCATACAGATGTTTGTGGGCCCATAAAAATTCAAGCTAGAGGTGGATATTCTTACTTCATCACCTTCACTGATGATATATCAAGATATAGATTTGTGTATCTTATGAAACATAAATCTGAATCTTTTGAAATGTTCAAAAGGTTCCGTAGTGAAGTTGAAAAACAGACTGGTAAAAGTATCAATGTACTAAGGTCTGATAGAGGTGGAGAATATCTTAGTGAAGATTTTACTAAGTATCCCAAAGAGAATGGAATTCTCTCACAGTGGACACCTCCAGGAACACCACAATACAATGGTGTGTCTGAAAGGAGAAATCTAACCTTATTAGATATGGTGAGATATATGATGGGGTTCACTGATCTTCCAATAAATTTATGGGGATATGCTTTGGAAGCAGTAACATACTTACTTAATAAAGTTCCCACTAAGTCAGTATCTACAACACCATATGGGATATGGAAAAGACGTAAGCCTAACCTTAAATACATTAATGTTTGAGGTTGTCCAGCTTATGTTAAGAGGCTACAGTCTCATACACTTGATTCAAGATCTGATAAGTGTAGGTTCATTGGGTATCCCAAGGAAACAATGGGATATTATTTCTATCACCCTTCTGAACATAAAGTGTTTGTGGCTAGAGGAGCAACATTTACAGAAGGGAATTTCTTTTGGAAGGAAATTGTAATGGAGAAATAGAAGTTGATGAAGTTCAAGAAACTAATGAATCAACACAAAATAAAGATCATGAGATCCAAGTTGAAGAACCTTTATTGGATGTTTTGAAGTTGCCAAGGAAGTTGCCATCTTCAACAGTTGAAGTTCAAGAACTAAATGTAGTTCAAGGACAGGTTAATGAACCAGTTCCAAACCAAATTGAACAACAACCAAATCCAGCACAAGGTGAACAGGTTGTACAAGCACCTCTTAGAAGCTCTACACGAGAACGTCATGTACCAACTAGATTAAATCTAATGGTACAAGATGATGTATCAAATGAGGTTGATCATAATGATGATGACCCTAAGACCTATGAAGAGGCTGTACAAAGTTCTGATTATGAGAAATGGCTAAAGGCCATGGAATCCGAAATGGAATCCATGAAGGAAAATAAAGTATGGACTTTAGTTGAACCTTCAAAGGATATAAAACCTATTGGTTGTAAATGGGTTTTTAAGAAAAAGATTGGAGCGGATGGAAAGGTGGAGACCTACAGAGCCCGTCTTGTTGCCAAGGAATATCGTCAGAAAGAAAGAGTCGACTATGACGAGACTTTCTCTCCCGTGGCAATGCTCAAATCAATTCGGATTTTGCTTGCTATAACAGCATACTATGATTATGAAATATGGCAAATGGATGTGAAAACAGCTTTCCTTAATGGTGAGCTAGATGAGAATGTGTACATGACATAACCTAAAGGTTTCACATCTTCGTCTGATCATAATAAAATTTACAAGCTACAAAGATCCATTTATGGACTAAAGCAAGCTTCTCGAAGTTGGAATATTCGCTTTAACAAGACAATTGAAAAGTTCAATTTTGTTAGATGCGAAAAAGAACCTTGTGTGTACAAAAAGGTTAGTGGGAGCACAATTGTATTCTTAGTGTTGCATGTTGATGATATATTGCTCATAGGGAATGACATATCTGCATTGCAAAGTACCAAGATTTAGCTTTCTCAACAGTTCTCCAAGAAAGACTTGGGAGAAGCAGCTTATATATTAGGAATAAAGATATATAGAGATAGATCTAGGAAGCTGCTTGGACTTTCCCAGTCTTTGTACATTGATACCATCTTAAAGAGGTATAACATGGATAATTTCAAAAGATGCTATCTACCGATAGGCACTGGAATTACTCTTAGTAGGGAGGATTGTCCTAGAACACCTGAAGAGAGAGAACGCTTGAGTAGGATCCCATACGCTAGTGCAGTGGGAGCTATCATGTATACCATGACATGTACACGTCCTGATGTGGCTTATGCAGTTGGAGTGACTAGCTGATATCAGGCAAATCCTGGTGAGGAACATTGGAAGGTGGTGAAGACCATTCTTAAGTGCTTAAGAAGGACTAAAGACCAATTCCTCATATATGGAGATTCTGAGTTGAATCTTGAAGGTTATACTTATGCATGTTTCTCTTCAGATAGAGATGATAGGAAATCTATTTCTGGTTATGTATTTACCTTAAATGGTGGTGCTGTGAGTTGAAAAAGTTCCAAACAAGCTACAGTAGCTGATTCAGTGACTGAAGCAGAATATATAGCAGCTAGTGAAGCTGCTAAGGAAGCTGTATGGATGAAAACGTTCTTAACTTAACTTGGTGTGGTTCCTTCAATAGAAGGTTCGGTCCCATTGTGTGGCAACACTGGAGCCATTGCTGAAGCAAAAGAACCAAGATCACACCAAAAATCCAAACATGTTCTGCGAAGGTTTCACTTGATAAGAGAAATCATTGAACGTGGAGACGTCGAGGTTCAAAAGGTTGATGGAAAGGAAGATGCTGCAGACCCATTCACAAAAGCTCTTGGCGCAAAGGAGTTTGACAAGCACAAGTGGAAATTGGGGATTAAGTACAAGAGTGATTGGCTCTAGTACAAGTGGGAGATTGTTAGGGATCTAGTAAATATGCCCTATATCCATTCTCATATTTGATGATTTGAACATATTTTTGTGAACGTCATTTGATATGAAATATATATGGCATTTGATATTTTTTTATCATTGTTATTAATTGCTTGATTAATTTGATAAGGTCCTTGATTAAATTTTGAGACTTGACACTGTGATGGAGATCATGATAATGAGAGTGAAGTTTCTTATAATTTAATCTAAATTTGTTCTTGATCGTAGGATTATTAATTTGGACATTAGTAATCCGGTTAGATCAATATTTATGTGATCGTCTTTATGGGATAAAGATTAGTTGATCTCATTCACTAAATTATATAGATAGATGATGCATATAGAGATATGATCATTGAACTGACTCATTGCATAATTCCTAAGGGTTAGAATTACCATAAACTGTCAATAGGATATTGTCTTGAAGAATGTGATGTAAGAGTTTCCTTTGACCTGAGATCGTCATAGTAATTGACAAGTTATTTATTGTGCTTTGATACTAGACACCTATGGCCCTAGGGCGATAGTTGAAAGGATATTGGGTACGATTAAATACTTGTAGAATTAGTGATTGATCAAGATGGAATCTGTCGACTATTGGTAATGAGTTTAAGCTCCATGTTGTCATGAATTATAAACGACCAAATTAAGACCTTGGCCAGGGCGATTGAACGAAAGAAGAAAAGAGTTTCTTAGGTCATTCAATGGTCGATTATATTTGACATGAACACATAGTTGGTCGCCTATTAGGATTTGACAGTTGAACCATATCCTAAGGTGACTCAGAGCTATAAGGACAGAAAGAAATGCTACTTTATTCTTCTACTGCTTCTTGAGAGTAAATTGTATACTTCATTCTATCCGGTCGTTAAGGAGTATTGCTAGATGCCACCCTTGATTAGTATATTGATGTGATCAATTTACTACCGGTTTAGTATTGAACCTATGGGGTCGCACACTAACGAGTGTTCCAATCTTTGCTAAAGGATTGGTTAACTTATTATTTGATAATTGAATTAAAGAATTTAATTAGTCAAATAAATTTTGTTATTAGTCCAAATGAAATATTATTATATTCTTTGCTAGCACAGAAAATATAACTAATACTATAAACAAATTGAAGGTTTCTATTTGGAATAGAAAATTAAATTATATCTCTTGGCTTAAATATATATGTGATATATTTTAATATCTATGAGATCAAAATACAAAGAATGCTATTGAAAAAGTCCATCTAGTGTAATTTTCTGAGAGAATGACTCTTTTAGTTGTTAGTTGTGCCAACGGCTCAGCGAGTTAGCGACCTTATTACCTTTGGACTATGTTTACCTTTTCATGGGATGGACCAAAGAATAAACTAATATGAGTATAATTTTGATTCAGAATTGACACAGAAGAGATTTTAGCAGGCATAAGTATCATTTGCTTTGTCACTCTTTTGATTTCGCAATCAACTATATAAATTTTTTGAGAAAGATATATCGAGATGACTCTATTTCCCCGCAAACATATATCATCTTCAGGACACTACTGTCTTCTTCATATTCTTCATTATGTTATCAAGAAAGTTCTTAGAATTGTCAAAACTGCAACAACAATTCCAAAATTCATTGTCGTAACATTAACAGTGGCACTCATCACTAAAGAAACTTTGAAAAGGATGCATTGAGTCAGTGACTTTATTCCCTGCAAACCATACGTGCAGGACCATTTTAGCTACAGCAACTTCTAAACGGCGACATAAATGAATGTGGATCTACATATTTATTATTTTTCAATAATTCAAGCAGGCCATAAATTGAGTGTGGTTGGATTTTTAGTAGATCTACAGAGTATACTTCGTGAATATTTCCTCTTCTAACTTCAAAAAAAATATGCACATAAGAAATTAGCAACAATATCTTAGTTATATAAATTTTGACGATTTTCATCCTGAAATATGGCTAAAACCTCCTGCGAGAAAATCCTGAAAAAAATATAATGTGGTATTTACTCATCCGTAAGTAAGCGATAAATGTTGAGTTTACTCATTTTTGTGATGGATGCAACGTTTCAGTTTCACCCATTTGCACAATGTCAAAAATGAAAACAGATAATATTATTATTGCAAACGCTATGCAGTACATCCTAAGTAGAACAGGATATATGTAAAAGGTAAGATAAGACAATTCACACTTTAACTAAATGGACTAATACCAGTTCCAAAGACAAAATAACATCAAATTAAAGTTTTATCTTGACACCAAACCAAAAGGAAAAAAAAACATGTCCACATAATTTTGTTCCCACGATTATTGTAGCAAATAATTTAAAACAGGGAAATGGCAGCACACTTCAAAGTTTAAAATAAACTAAGTATCTAAAACTGATGTACAAGATGAACACCATGTTTCAAATATAATATATAATCTTCAAGAAGCTCCACCATTGCCAACAAAGGACGAAAATACCTTCTTGACATTCTTCTTCGCCGGGTAATTGACTCGAAAACGCTTCGAATTCCCCATTCCACAGCCAAAACAGAGTGTTGAAGTTGGTGAAGAAGGGATCTGCAGCTTCTCATGATCATACTCCTCAATTTCTGATCTTGAACGGTAGTTCCTTGTGTTGGGATTATAACCAGTGATTGGAATGGAAGACATCGAAAACGACGACGAACAAGACGATGAAACCGAAGGAGAAGTAAGTGAAGGTGAAAAAGAGATTCTTTTAGAGGAAATCTTAGGGAAAATGGAGAGGAAAAAATTAGATTTTGATTGTTTTTGCAAAGATTTCAAGTGCGCATTGGTTTGATAAGAAGGTGGAGGAGTAAGTGGAGGAAGAGAAGTGTCTGAAAATTTATGTTTAGGAGTACCAGGTTGAGATTCCCAAACAAATGGAATTGAACCAGAAGATCCACCACAGTAATAATACTTGAAAGAAGACTCACCTCTTGCTGTATTTTCCTTAGACAAAAGTCTTGAAAAGAATTTGTCATCTTGTTTGATTAGAAGAAAATCTGCTGGATGATGGCTGCCACCACTCACCATTTTCTTTTCTTTTCTGCACTTCACTTCAAGATCTGGAGATCTATAGAGGATGGCGTAGAAGAGAAAGAAAATAAGGATTTGAAGCTAAGATCTTAGTATTGGATTTTGGATATATTCAAATCTAGTGTATATATTTAAATGGTTTTAAAAGGTTGAATTAAATGCGTAAAATAATTAAAGGAAACCATGCAGGAAAGGAGTGGTGTTTTGATTTCTAGGAATTTGGCTGCAGGGGATGATTATTGACTTGGGCGGGGCACACTTTTATATTACAAGAAAATAAGATTTTTGAACACCAACCAATGTGAGGTCAGTTTATTTAATGTTTTGAGGTCATTCAAAAATGGCATTTTGTGTGTTAGTTAGTGTGTTAGTGTACTTAGAGTAAAATGAGATTTAATGCTGTTGGCCGGTAGCTATAACTACTAAGTAGTAAACCATTTTATTACATTTATTTTTTAAGAAATCTCTAGTATTTTTTTATACCGCTGAACATTGGATGATATTGAGCTTCTGATTTGAAGGGAGCCTCGGAGCAACGATAAAAGTTATCTCTGTATGATCTATAGGTCACACGTTCGAGCAGTGGAATTAGCCACTAATGCTTGTATCAGGGTATGCTGCCTACATCACACCCCCCGGGGATGCAATCCTTCCCCGGATCATGCGTTAACACAAGCACTAGACTAACTTTTTGATATGATCTTGATGAAAATTGAATTAAGAATAATAAAAGCTACAGTTGAGGAGGAAGATGGATCTAATAAATGAGAAATGGATGTGGTCCATGACTATTAAAGAGAAGTTGTTTCCATGGTTGATGAGAAGACAAAAGTTTACGTCGTCTGAATTATGTGACTTTCATCCCATTACATAAACTCCGAAGAAATGCAAGGAATTGGAGGCAAACCTTTCATTTCGTCACAATGCAACAAACCTTAAAATATAGGATTTAACTCATATACACCAATAAATAATTTATACCTAAATGATAACAAATTCCATGATTAATACAGAATTTGGCACTTTAATGCTACTGTAAATTAAGATGCACCGACCAAAAGGAGTAATTAGTGTACTTATAACTTGTATTTGTTGAAGACTCTTGTTAGAGAGAGGCATATAATGAGCAATAACTGTCTAGCTTTCAACCACCAACTTTAGTTATTAGTCCTCGACTTTATTGTTGAGGAAGCTCAAGCCTTAATTTGGCCTGCTCTCCATATTCAGTTTACACGTATTATCTCAAAAGTAACACGTGCTATATAAGCAAATACAGTGGTTGCTTTCCTGTTTAATAACTTTTATTGAAGGGAACCCCACAAAAAGTCTTTGAAATGATAAAAAATCTGATGAATTATTTTTGAATCTTTTTCTTATATGTTCTAGAACGCTTTGATAGGTAAAATTGTCCACTTTTATGATTACATCTATGCAAGGGCAGAGCTATAAGTTCATATGGTGGTTTAACCGAACTTAGTATTTTTGCTGGAATAGTATATTAGCATTAAAAAGTTCATTAAATATGTATAAATATTGCATTTATAACCCAATTATTAGCACTTGAAGTCGTCGTTTTAAAATTTAGAATTCATAAATTTGAAATTCTGACACAAATGTGCTATCTATGGATGAGTTGGTATGTTCTATGCTAAACCGTATCAATCCATAAGTTTGCCGTATATGCGCAAATTAGTTTTCGCGATATAACCTGATATATCCACTAAAACAAGGTAAGTTATGCACTTTAACATACTATATTTATTGTTGAATAAAAGAAAAAGGGAAAAGATGGGAAAAGAAAAACTAAATGAACAAGAGAAGAAAAAGATCAACATCGTTTAACCGGGAAAAACAAACATCTTCTACCCAGACATATACAAACTAGGAGAGCATGGCCACTCAATATTCAGTCAAAATGGCCCATGACTGTGTAACATGATCTATACCAATCACAATCCTTTGTGTTTTCATTAAATAGCAACACCAACCACAAGTAAAACTTTGGTTACGACATTTAACCTACATCTAACCATATACCTTTTTCTTCTTCTATTTTCTTTACTTCTCAAGAATTAATATACAGACAAAACATGAGCAGAAAATAGTCAAATATCGAACATAGAGTAAGAAAGTATCCACGCAAGACAGCTAACATGTCTTGCTGCGGATTTAAGGGGTTGAAAATACACATGCAATAACCCTAAAATCACATGCTTTCTTCACTTCACACATGCTCTTTTTTCATCTCTATGCAAAATTGGCCGTCAATTTAACGTGTCGTTGCTCCTTTAACGGCATTGACTCCTATAAGATTTAATTACTCACGACCCCAAAACCGAAAAAGAAATTACTACCTTCATATTATCTTTTTTTTTTTTTGTGTACATCCAGCCTTAATATTAAGAATATTATTACTCTTCATCTCTCCATAAATATCTCATTCAATTAACACTCCACGAACTTGAACAGTACAATGGGTAGATTCAAAAAACAAGTGATCAACGGCTTCTTATTTTTCTAAATCGTTAATTTTTCTAAGCAAATTCAAATTATAACTCCTGTTGTCTCAAATAATTTATCATGTTTCTTTTTTACATGCCACTTCAAAAAATATTAATTAAAACTAGTTTTGACTATTTTACCCTTATTTATATCATAAATATAATTTCTCCGTTGAAAAGTTACTCTATTTATGTGTCATCATCTCCATCTTCAAGAAATTACTACTAAGAATAAAATAGAGAATAATTGATTTTATCTTGAATTTTATAATGACAAATAATTTGAAACAACTATTTATAGAAATCATGACAAAATACTACTTATGTTTGGGATCCGGAGGTATTGCTTATATCAAGCTATAAGGTGTGATTAAGGGTACGAAGTAAGAAAAAGGAAGGAAGGTGTGTCGAATTTGACTATTTGACCTAGTCAGTGGGAAGTTAATACGTCTGAAATTGAAAAGGATGTGTTGGTATTTAAAAAGGTATAAACCAAGTTCTGCACTTAATTAATTTTTCTACCGTACTTATAATATTAATCGCTGGATTAATGTGGTCACTGGCCGATGGTCTAAGTTAAATGAGTCTGATTTTTTATTCTTCCAACTGATGCTGATTTCTAACTAATTGATTTTACTCCTGCATTAAATAATGACTCTTCAGCCACACAAAATTGCATTGTCGTACAATACTACATGTGATGATAGATATTTTTGGCAATCGTTTTCATTTAATGGAATGTTTGGTGCTTTAAAATTTTAATATATATCATTATATCATTTATAAATTTTTGGGTAGTTGTTGAGGTCATTTTTCTGATATTTCAAATCAAAATGTGTTACCACAAAAGTAAAGCATCCCTTTAGTTGAAGAATTTCTTTCTTTCTTTCTGGTGTTTTGCTATATTTTCTCTGACTATAATATTTTCTTTCCTTCTTCTTTTTTTTTTCTTTCTCTGGACGTGACCCAAATAAAGGGGATAAAAGGACAAATAGAAACATAGTATATAATATTTAAATGAACTACCTGATTAGACCAACAATCAAATTCCATTTAGTTATGGAAATTATTGCATGCAGTAGACCTAAAATTGTTATATGGATTTTGAAAGCAGAGACTAGACTATTGCTACTTTATTACTAGGTTGAGTCATATGCAAGTCATAAATGACTGGCTCTAACGGTTGGTGCATTGAAGATTATATTCTAAAATAATACAACTATTACTTGTTTACAATAATGATGAGTCAATTACTCAAATGGTCACTCAACTATCTCAAATTATCTCCTAAAGTCATTTTTCTTTCGTTTGTAACAACAAAGTCACTGAACTATGTCTATTGCACTCAGAAGATCACTCAACCAGATTTTCTCCGAATTTTGGATTGTCAAATACCTATTTTACCCTCTAAATTATAAATATTTTTCTTTTTATTTTTTTTAAACTTTTTAGTATTAACAACAAAAATTCAAAAATTTATTTGCACAATTCAGAATGAAAGAAAATAAAGGTTGTAAAATATATATTCCATGCACGTATATAAAAATAATTATTTAAATAAAGATATTTTTATAATATATATTATAAATTCTAGAAAATTATGCTCAATTATATTATTATATTTCTACTAACTTTCCGACGACACAAAGTTATGTCACCAGAAAGCAGGAGGACTATCTGTATAGGATAAAATATGCTATGTTAAGTCGTGCATGGAATATATATAATATAATTGAGCATAATTTTCAAGAATATATAATGTATATTATGAAAATACCTTCATTTAAATAATTATTTTTATATTACGTGCGTGGAATATATATTTTACAACCTTTATTTTCTTTCATTCTGAATCGTGTCAATAAATTATTGAATTTTTGTTGTCAATACTAAAATTATTATTACTAACAAATTATTCTAATTAATTTTTTACTATGCTCATTATTTTGTTATTCCAGCATTATATATGCTTAAATACTTTTTATTTTTTAATTTATAAATAATATTTATTTATTCTATAGGCAAGTCCATAATGTAAATTAAAAAGGGAAAAATCATAATATTAAAAAGTTTTTAAAAAAATAAAAAGAAGATAAATATTTATAATTTAGAGGGTAAAATAGGTATTTGGCAATCCAAACTTCGGAAAACCTGGTTGAGTGACCTTCTGAGTGTAATAAGCATAGTTCAATGACTTTGTTGTTACAAACGAAAGACAAGTGACTTTAAGAGATAATTTGGGATAGTTGAGTGATCTATTTGAGTAATTGACTCCAAGAATGATGCAATTATTGGAGTCTTAAAGGTGGTGTATATATATATATATATATATATATATATATATATATATATATATATATATATATATTGGATGTTCATTTAGTACTCCATTGTAAATATGTTTCCTGAAGAAGCTTATCCATATGAGACTTCGCCGCAAAAATGTTTATCTATTTAGTACTCTATTGGAAATAAGCCTCCTAAAGAAGCTTATCATTTCTTTACTCCGTTATGGATAAATATTACACCCCTCCCCCCGGTAGAAGATTATCCATATCTGATACAGTAGCAGCTTAAAAGCAACTTACAAGCAGCTTACACAGCAACTTGCAGTAGTAGCTTCCTTTCTTCTGTAAATAGAGGAGATTTCAGTTCATTATGTACATCAGTTTGAAGTTGAACAATATATCAATCTCTCTCTCTATACTTGTCTTCAGTTATTTACTTTACAGTCTTTAATTTTATAATACGTTATCAGCACAAGACTCTGCCTTGAGCACTTACTTTGAAAGATGTATTAATGTAGTTATCCTCGTCCAAAGGCATTAGTTCTCACTGTAAGTAAGACCAAATTATTGTATTTATGGATTTCTTCCCTTTTTATAGTGGGTTGAACGATTGATATTTCTTAAGCGTCAATATATCATTTCCATATTTGCAAAGTAAGCATGGAAATGATTCCATGTTTGGCTTAACGGTTTTCCTATATCACTGTCTTTATGAACGACAAATTATTTTTCCTTGCTGCTTTGCCATCTTGAAGTAGGTTTGTGGCAAAGGACTTGTGACATTAATTTTTGCACTTTCATATATTGCTTAACAGTAACTATTCGTTGAGTTGATTTAACAAAAGTTTATGGCTATAAATCAGATCCAATCTCCATCATTAAGAATTCTACTCAAAAGGTTAGTACTTCCTTCATATCAAATATCCATATTTTCTTTGCTATTAACAGTATAATTTTTGTTCATTGGTCCTAAGGAGCCTACTTGGTTCACTTGGCAGTTCATTCCAT